CCAATCTCCCCAGCCCGACCTTCCTATGAACCCTACAAGCCCCGAGCAACGCCCCCCAAATTGACTCGTCGGCCTCAAATGGCATCGATTCTATCAGCTCATACGCCTCTTCGACTCTCCCCGCTCGCCCTAGGAGATCCACGACGCACCCGTAAACCTCCTTATTTGGTTTAACGTTGTATTCTGTAGTTATTCGGTTGAAGTAGGTCAGGCCTTCGTCGACGAGTCCAGCGTGGCTGCAGGCGCTTAACAGGCCTATAAACACGACGGGATCTGGTTGGATTCCGAAAGAAGTCATTTCTTCGAACAAATCTATCGCTTCTTTGGCGTAGCCATTGCATCCGTAACCTACCATCATCGACGTGTAGGATACTATGTCCTTATGAGACATCTCGTCGAAGATTTTGATCGAGTCGATGATACTTCCGCATTTTGTGTGCATGTTGACAAGTGCATTCGATACCTGTAGATTTTGGGAAAAGCCTCTTCTTATAATGGATGCATGCACTTGCTGGCCACAGTTTAGGAGGGCGAGGCGAGCGCAGGCTGAGACAATGCTGGTGAATGTGAAGCAGTTAGGCTCTAGAGAGTGCAGGCTCATCTCGGACAGCAGAGTTATCGCCTCATGGGACCCACATTGGTCGAGACGAGCGATCATGGTGTTCCAAGTGACAAGATCTCTTTGATGCATTTCCCTGAAATACCGTTTTGCTTCTGATACGCAGTTGCATCTGAAGTACAGGTCGATGATGGCGTTGGACACCGGCAGACTGTGCACGTGCCCCGATTTTGATGAAGAGCAGTGGAGCTGCGTGCCAAGGGTCAGGTCAGCCATGGAAGCGCAGGCATGGATTGCGATGGAGGAAGTGAACGGGTTCGATTCAGCCCCCTCCTGTTTCGACAAAAATCGATCTGATGATAGAATCCAAGAGATCATTCAGTCAGTTTGAGATGTTATTTTACTTCTTATAACCTAGTTACCTGAGTCATCATCCTCTGATACACTCGAATTGCAGCACGTGCATCTCCCCACCGTGCATAAGACGCAATCATAGTCGTCCACGCCACAACATTCCTCTCCTCAATTCCTTCAAACACAGTCATCGCATCCCCAACCCCCTCCCCTCCCATCGCCGCATATGCATCAATAAGCGCATTCTGCACGTGCGCTACCTCATCGAAGCCCAGCTTCACGGTTATCCCATGGGCCGTTCTCGGGCTCACTTCGAGCCCTTTGCAGGCCTTGAGAACGCTCGAGAGCGTGTATGCGTTGGGCTTTACATCATGAGAGAGCATGTTTTTGAACAAGGCCCATGAATTCGTGTATTGGTTATTGGATGTGTAACCCGATATCATCGCGGTCCAGACGACTACGTCTCTTTCCGTCATTTCTTCAAACAGGCGGCGGGCGGCAGATACCGCCCCTGAGTCGCAGCATGATTTGATGAGGTTTGTGCATGAAATTAGAGAGAGGTTTGGATTTGGTTTGGATTTGGCGGGAGAGGATCTGTAATGAACTTTGAAGGGTATTTTTGTCATTTTATGGGCTCGGCTTCATTCCTAATCTGAAGTCCAACTAGGTTCAACTCAATACGTAGAGGGGCTTAAGGGTCAGTATTTGCAAATTATGAACTCCATATTGGGCCGAGCCTTGAAGTTTGAGGGCTTTTTATTGGCAAAACTACCCCCCAAATCATTAGTATTTGAAATTTTGATTTCTAACGAGCTTTGAAGTTTGAAAGGTAGTTTTAGTTTTAGTTTTTCCCAAATTTTTAAAGAATTATTAGCTAATAAAATAGATATCCAAACTATGAACTCAATAGGTAAGTGGTCCGAGCCCAAAATTTTCCGCTAGCTTAACTATAGATTTTTTTTTTCCCTTTTCATTTTTTCCCCTTACTTAATTAGAGAGAATAAACAACGAATCGCACTTAACATTTTGGCCTAAGAATCATTAAGGTCGAAGGATAACAAATTATTTTAACGAAAAAACTTGAATATTAGCTCAATTAGACCCATAAATAAGGCAAAACATTTGTGAAGCCCATGGGCCACTACGTTTGCTAACTAATTTTTTTGGGCTTTCTGTTAGGACAAAGCTCATGTTCTTTCCCCTACTCCCTCCCCCCCTCTTTGGGAATAAAAAATAGTAATTGCGTCAATGATTTTTTTTTCCTTTTTTAAGTGGATAAATCACAAATTCAATATATCAAACTGGTGAGCATTGACAATTATGTTTATCCTCTAATGCTTCTGCTCATTGAGATTACTTTTTGTGATGAATATGTTTTTCGCACGGTCATTTTCTTACCTCTGCGTTAACTACATGACCGGTGACATTTTGAATTCAGGAGTTCTTGATATCATCTCAAAAGACTTCATAACAAATGAAATTCCAAACTTACATAAAACGTCACAAATTGTAATTTTATATTCGATAAGAATTAAACTATTAGGAGTTAAAACACGTGATTGAAAAACTTATAGGAATACGTGTATTTTTGTGGAATAGGAGTCGGCATGAAAAGCAATGGATGCCTACTTTGTAAAGTGGGGAAGACACAGCTCAAAGCTTGTCTTTCCCTTTTCCAACCAATGTGGGGTGCTTTCTCCTAAAGAGCAAGCATAGATGATCACATTTAGGGCACAAAGAGAATAGCATGAACCCTAATCTAAGTTGTGCTCGTCCCCTAAGTTTGATACATTCAGTACCTTTAAAAAAAAATTCGTAGGTGGGTATGATTCCGACATCAAAATCAGAAGTCAATGTCCCTTGATATGAGAGCCTTACTAGTGAAATACTTACGTATAGCAATAATGACAACTAGATTCGAGCAAAATTTTGAAATATATAAAGCTTATAAGTAAGTTCGCTTTAACCCTCACCCTAACAAACACCTAGGGCTGTCTGATGATATGGCCAGACTGACCCCGTCTCCTTTTTTACAATGTGTGGAGAAGTTCAAAAGCAACAATGACATTGTCCTGAATAGATCTCCCTGGGACAAAAGCACTCTGAAAGCATCCGATCAATCCGCCAAGAACTCACTTCCGCCTATTAGCAATGGTTTTCGTGACAATCTTGTAGACCACATTACGTAGACCAATAGGTTTAAAATCTGCCACGGTCTCAGGTGAATCCTTTTTGGGGATGAGAACCACATTGATTTTATTCCAAGACCTGATAGACGAGCCCCCATTTAGAATCTTCAAACATGCAGCCGAAATATCTAGGCAAATAACAGATCACTGGGACTGAAAAAAGGATGCATGGAAGCCATCTGGGCCGGGTGCCTTAGAAGGGCCCATAGATCAAAGAGCACCCCATACCTCATCACCTGTAAAAGGCTTAGAAATGATCCAGAGGTCATCCAGTGAAACATCACCAAGCTCTCAATCAATATCTCGCTTAAACATCACCAAGCTCTCAATCATCAACTACCTATGTTATCCCCCCATCACCATGTTAGGTTATAGATATCCAAAAAAAAAACATTGTGTGGCTCCCATAGATTGCTACAATGTGGGGCAAAGAGAGGTTGTACCTTTGGTGGCATATATCTTTGAATCTTCTAATCATTGGTTGCAAATGGACAAGATTCCATCATAAGTTAATACTTTGAATAGTATGGTAATCGATACATCTCCTTCAAATTTCTTGCTTGTTGGAAATTCTTTCTAAAATTTAAAGGCAATATCTTGTAAGGAAAGAGGACACCATAGCGCCATTAATAGGAAACCATGTTGTTTGACATGTGAAAGTGGTGATTTTTTAGTGCATTTTGAGCTTAATTTGGTGGTGATTTTCTCTTGGCCTTTTCTCTCTTTCGGACCATGTACTATTTTTTCACGCAAAGATGAGAAAGTAGACAACTGACATGGGTGGGAAATTGCTTGAGAGAAGATAAAAATCCAAAAAAATCTAGATTGGATTGACAAAGAATTTAACTCGTATGAACAGATAGAAATCTGAGGCGAGGGTTTATTTGCAAACAACACTTTGGAGTGTTTATTAAAAAATGGATAGGGTCAGGGGTTGGGAGAAGAGGGAGAGGGGGGCAGGGTTTATTTGCAAATTACCTAATGTGAGGGTGTATTTTGCAAAAAAAAGTTATTAACGAGGATTTTTTTTCATTTTCATGAGTGCATTTTCCATCACTTTCGGTATTATGTTAGGAAAGTTTTTGAAGTTCAGCGGGAAAAACAAATTATTGAGGGTTTCGTTGGAGACACCTCAAGTATTGGTTTTATTATTATTACTAATTAACTAGTGGTGAACACTGTGCAAAGCACGTCATATCATTTTCCCCCCGCTACAGTAATCCTGATTTTTAAATGCTGTAGTAATATTTTTTAGATTTTTTAAATTGCTATAGTTCCCGTCTTTGCTACAGTTTTCAAATGCTACAGTATTCCCGTGTGCTACAATAACATTTTTTTAAAAAAAATTGCTACAGTGTTCAGTTTCATGTTTGCTGCACTAATAATGCTACAATGTATGTTACTGTAGTATGAATAGTGAATCTTGGGTTCTCCCATTTGTATAGAGGAGTAGATTAATTACCCAAGAATTGAACTCTTGTTTAACTACCAATTGACCAAAAACTTTGCACACACATGGCTAAGGTCACTCTCAACCTATAGCACATTTTAATTTGATCCAAGCCTAACTCAATCCAGATGCACTCCTAACTAGATTAACATTGGCCATGAGAATAATCTCCATGTAAAGAACTAAGGGAGCAAGGTCACAAACGTACGTACGTGTCTCGTAGTTTTATGTCACACCTTCACCAAATTGTTGGCGCCAATAATTATGCTGCTCCCTAAACAGTTCGTGGCCATGAATAGTTGCTTCAATGCTTGTAGAAAGCATTGGTAGGATTAATACTTCTCTTGGGTAGTTTGTTGAGATTTGAGATCTCACATGAGGAAAGAGGCTTTCATTTTTTTTCACAATCTAAGGCTTTCATTTAACCCTTAGATGTTTTCTCCATGAGTTTTCTTTAAACCATTAAGTTCAATACGTTCTAGTATAAATGAAAAATTAGTGTTTTTTTAATGGTTCGGTTTTTTTGAAGGGAAAAATGAGAGAAAGCTGTCAAAGTGTCAGAACTTTGGCAGCTTTCTTCCAAAATCCCCTCTTTAAGAGACGATTTTGGGAGAAAGCGGCCAAAGTTCTGACACTTTGACAGCTTCCCCCCCTTCGAAAAAACGGAACCAAACGCGTCCTAGTGAGATAAAACTTAGGAGTGTTTCCCCTGATTACGTAACAGGCCGCGATATCGTATCCCCGCGCATCATATCTCGTTGACCTTGAAAGGCTCGGGGTCAGAGACTGGCGTCCGTGTTGACCACCGCCACGTGCTGACCAGCTTGTTCCTGCGAACGCTCACGTGTCCGAGGATCCGTGTCGCCTCCGGGTCTCGCCAGTGGTCCCCCGGCGGCAAACGGATCTATACGACACGTGTCCGTGCAGCAACCATCCAAGAGCCGGTTGGATGCGTTTTTTCGGCCGCGCGCGCGTGCCAGTTCATCACACGTGCAATGCGAAAAAAAAAACCCCGGAAAATCCCCGTCCAAAATTTTTTTCTTCGCAAACTTCGATTTTTTGCGACAATTCAATATCTGAACATGTCGTCAATTAATGGGGTTATTTAATGCTTCAGGAACGTGTAATATAATATATTTTGAAGTCCAATATGGTGTTTTGTGCGCAAAAGCCTCCAGGAGCGATCAGCCGAGGGATTTTCAAATTTACCTTTTTTTTCTTTTTTCACTTTAATATGGTGTTGGTGAGAATTTCTAATATCCTCGTTTTTCCTTTTGTAGTGTGTTATCCTTTCAGTCAGCAGTAGCTTTTCTTGTATATTTTCAGTGTCACTCTTTAGACATGTACGGTTCCTGCTTTTTAGGATGGACGGAACCCGTGCAGAATTGACGACAAGGTCCGTTGCTTACCAACCAACTCTACTCTTAGTTCCTATGATCTTTGGTTCTTTTTGTTAATTTTGTATCTATTAATCTTTTGGCGGCGCGCAATCATAAATATATATAATATATATATAATATATATATATATATATATATATATATATTATATATATATATATATATATATATATATAATATATATATATATATATCTCAATATGAGGAATATGGGTATACTTGAATATGGGTATACTTGGGCGCAAGGATCCTTGGTAGTGATGTGGACACATCTTGTCCATACATCACACCTTGAAGTTGTGAGGCTGCCATCTTCAAGGTGTGATGTATGGACAAGATGTGTCCACATCACTACCAAGGATCCTTGTACCGAAGTATACCATTTTTCTCATATATATATATATATATATATATATATATTATATATATATATATAAGAACCATGGAACCTCTCGCTGTTTTTTTCTTCAAAAAAATTAGAAATTGTTCATGTGTTGCCGCTTTTAGAAAAATAGAGAATATTTTTTTCGAAAGTGGGACCATCGTCAAATTATTAGTTTGATTTAGGATGAGGTGATCAGGTGCTTGGGCAATGGCTTACGTTAGGAGAGGGGAGGTTAATGAGGTTTGAAGAAACATTAGCACTAAAAGCACTTTCACTAATTATTA